AAAATTAAAATAATATTTTAAAGGTTTAATTAAAAAAATGAAAGTAATAAGAGAAAAAAATAACATATTTCAGAGAAGAAAAAGTATATAAAAAAAAATCATAGCTAGAAGGTAATGAGTCTAGAGGTCACTACTAATACAGATCTTATAAAAATGAATTCACAACGAAATTTGATTTTAAAATATAATTTCACAGAGAGGTTATTTTTGAAAGATAGAATATCACCTTCATCACCTTATTTGTCTTCTAATAGTAACTTTCTCTTTATTGAATTTTTATTGTTCTAAATATGTTATTTTTATACATTTTGTTAGGTTTTAGTGCTAGAAAACGTGGTCTATGGAAAGAAGTTACATGGAGAAAGAACAGGAATAAACAAACAATTAACGTATAGATTAAGGCGGGTAAGAAGAAGAATAATGCTTAATAGATTTGTTTTATGGAAATGAAAAGGCTAAGGAAAAGAAGTATTATATCAAGAGAAAAGAAAGTCCATTTAATGAAAAATGAAGTTACAAAAAAAAACAGTTAAAAAAAGATTAAGACTAGAAAATAGAAATAAAAGAAAAAATTTTAAAATGAATAAGAACAAAATTATTTCAATTTTTTATTAGTCTTTTGTCTACGATTTTTTAATTGAGTTTTTTTTTTGGAAATACAGAGTAGGTATTATTCGTTTTTAGTTTTAAAGGATTTGAATTACATTCAGATATTTTCAAGAAATCGTAAAACAAATTAGTTTAAAATTTATTAAAATTTAAAACTGACTGCATAATAAAACATTAAACACTTTTTTTAAGGTAAAAATAACTTCTTAAAAATTTATTATTATTAAAAGTTAATATAAAATATTTATTATTCATTTTGTGGTTTTTAAGCAATTTTTCATAATTCTAAAATTGGCTAAGCATATTTTTGCCTTTAAACCCACTTTGCATTCTTGTGGGATTATTTTCTTATGCTTGAATAAAAAGGATAGCTACGTTATTTACATATGAGTTACTCATTGCCTTCGGTCATACATGACAGGATACATATTATATTACAATAACAACAGGCGAAAAGGGATTCGCAAAGCAGATTATAAAAATATAAATTAACATAATAGGATTTCGCAACTAAAATGGACGTTAAGGCGCTCAATGGAAAATGGCTCAAAGCGGCGCACACAACATTTACTTAGGATGTGTTTACTGAAAATACTATTAAGCATATAAACATTTTATATATAATAAAATATTTTTAAATATATAGTATATATATACACACATTAATATAATATTAAAATAGACAACTATCATCTTGTGTATATTTCAAAATAATAAAGTAAATTAGTAGTTATACGAGTAAGTTTTGAATCTAAGATTATTGCAAATTATAAATATGAATAATATAAAATCATTAAAAAATTCTATTTTAATTTTATCAAAAATTTTAATTGAAATTAAATTTAACTGTTTTACTATTTTATAAAATTCTTATAAAGAGGTTTTCGAACAGAAGTGAAACAACAACAAAAATTTATTTGTTAAATAATTTTAATTAATTGAATTTTTGGTTGACCATACAGCTGTTTCGAGTATTGCCAAATACCCTTCATCAGTGGTCTTGGAAATAATTCTTATATTTAATTATTCGTAAATAATTATTTTTGAGACTGTAAGTACCACGAATCGAACTCGGGTCCTGCCAAATATGAAGCTCAGAATCAGCGCACCTTAACCAACTGATCCAAAGCCGTACTTGACTTTTTTTTTTATGTTCGCATATTTTTGCTGGAGTTTTGCTACTTTTGCTATGAAAGTTTTTAATAACAATTTTACTTGCTGTATTTATATATTAGAACGAAATCATAAATCAGCTGTAGAATAATTGAATTAAATAATTAATTATATTTTTTATTTTTAATTAAAAATTAATTAATTAAAATTATTTAAAAAATAAATTTTTGTTGTTGTTTCACTTCTGTTCGAAAACCTCTTTATGTAAATATAACAAGTTTCTATTAAAAATATAATAGTCACTTCCGTCTAAAAAATTTGACGTTAAATTACAACTTATTCATAAAATTCTTATATAAAAAATAGCTATAAAGATTATAAAGTTTTGTTGTAATTGCTATTGTACACGAATTTTTAATGAAAATTATAGAGAAAATAGTTTTTATGAGGAGCGCGATATCAAACGAGAAAAGTATGTAAACAGACTTGATTATTACAAAAATATAAACCTCAATAATAAACATCTTCAATTTTTTATTAGGTGTACCAGTATGAAATGAGCGTTTTTTGGTGAAAATAAAACACTAATTATTAATAGGAAAGTAAAAAACATTTTATTCAAAGGATTGGCCATTGCTTTCTACACATTTTGACCACCTTTCTGGCAATTTGTGGATACCACGCCAAAAAAATTGTTCGTCTTTTAAACCAACCAGACACCCAATTTTCGACCTCCTCGTAGGAATCAAAGTGCTGCTCAGCCAATGCGTGTCCCATCGATGAAAACAAATGGTAGTCGGAAGGAGCCAAGTCTGGTAAATAAGGCAGGTGGGGTAGCAGCTCCCAGCTAAGTGGTTTGATTGCATCATGAACCCGTTCTGCTTTGTGTGCAGGTGCATTGTCATGCAGCAGAATTACCATGCCGTGTCTTCTGGCCCATTCTGATCGTTTCTCGATCAATGCATGGTTCAAATTTATCATTTGTTGTTCATAGCGACCAGCATTGACGGTTTCACCAGGTTTTAGGAGCTAGTGGTACACCACACCTTTCTGGTCCCACCAAACACACAGCATTGTCTTCTTGCCGAATCTATCTGGTTTTTTTGCAGTCGATGTTGATGGTTATCCTGGATTAACCCATGATTTTTTCCGTTTAGGATTCTTAAAATAAATCCATTTTTCATCGCCAGTAACAATCCGATGCAAAACCTATTTTCTTTCGTGTCTTTGAAGCAAAATTTCACAAGTGTTTTTTCGGTTTTCCATCTGTCTTTCATTCAATTCATGTGGCACCCATTTTCCACACTTTTGGATCTTTCCCATAGCTTTTAAACGGTCAGAAATTGTTTGTTGTGCAACATTTAACATTTCTGCCATTTGCTTTTGACCCAAAGTGTCATCTCCATCCAATATCGTTTGCAATTCGGCGTCTTCAAACTTTTTTGGCGGTCTTCCACGTTCTTCATTTCTCACATCAAAATCATTATTTCTGAACCGTTGAAACCATCTTTTGCATGTTGCTTCTGATAGAGCATGATCACCATATGCCTCGACAAGCATTCGATGCGACTCTGCACCACTTTTCTTCAAATGAAAACAAAAAATTAATACTTTCCGCAAATCATCACTTTCTGGTACAAAATTCGACATTTTTGACACGATGAAAAAATATGATGTTGTTTGTTCAATGACTTGATGTATACTAAATATATTTCACACATGTCATAGCAAACGAACAAAAAAAAATAAAGGCTCGTTCACAACAAATGTTCCCTGTCGGAACATTTGTATCTTTACGCTCACTTCATACCGGTACACCTGGTATATTGAAGTATCTTCAGTTATTAGGCTAATACTTCACTCGGCGGATATGTCAACAGACAGAATAGATTGATGACTATAAAAATCGTTAGCTTTGGCTTTGCTGACATATGAATACCTTTTATACAGAATTTGTATGCCAATATATATATAATATAATATATAATAACAAATATATAATATATTATATAAAAATTCGAACAGTTGCTCTCAACGCACTTTTCCGTTGATCCAGAATTGACATACGGCGCGGAGTCATCCTAAAGCAAGCTTTGTCAGTTCTTGTCTCAATTGAGTATATTTGCTCTAACCCAGATTTTAATTTGGGGTCGATTTTTTTATATCTAGTGGGAAAGACTAGACATCTACACAGACGGCTCCAAGATAGATGAACGTGCACTTTGTGGTATATTCTTTAAAAAATTGGATCTTAGTTTTTCGCTTTGACTGCTTAACAACTGCAGTGCATTTCAGACAAAGGCAATGGCAATTCATTATGCAGTAAAATGGATCCTAGGTAACCAGATTTTTGATGCAAAATTCTCAGTCTTTTCCGAGAGCCAAACTGCTAATTAATCCTTGGTAAACACTACAGCCACATTTTTAACAATTCGATAATGCCGGGCTTCCCTTATTGATTAAGCTAGGCATGTCAGCGTTTAACTCATATGGGCTCCTGGATGCAGGGATATTTCGGGTAATTGTAGAGCGGGCGAGCTTGCTAAAGGAGACACTTTGCTTCCTGGCATTCAAATCGACAAATAAAGGTTGCAGTTAGCCACTTCAGCTAAGATATAATCTGCTTAGCACTGCGGTATCGGTGCTGACGGGTCACTGCATAATAGGAAGACATGCTATGAAACTGGATCTACGGAAACTGTGGAGGAGGAAACTGTGCTTCACTTCATGAGTCACTACCCATCTTTAGCTAATAGAAGATTTAAAATTTTTGACGCGTCTTTTTTTACCGACCTCACCGAACTGTCATACTGCAAAATTAATGAGGTCATTGAGAAATATATATACTGACATAGTAATTTCCAAAAATTTTGTGAACTGATCACCAAGATCATGCTATATAATTTCATTGGAGATGCTTCTTTGCTTATTTGTTTATTCGACTAAATCACTAACATTAAAGGACCATAAAACTAAAACTAATCTGTTGTTGATGAATTATAAGTAGATTAATGTAAAAGCTGCTATAGACAGGTGTTTCAAAATTAAATTTTCAAATAAAAGTAATTTAAACCAAAATCTAAAAAAAAATATATTGGCTTCTTATAGTATTTTGTCATCAAATAAAGTTTAAAATATTATATATAACAACAATTTGATCAACCTTCAGATATGAAGACGCAATACAAAAAAAATTTTTTATAGCAATTAATATATTAACTGTCAAAATGCTAAATATTTTCTTAAAATATGTATTTTTTAAAATTGTTTATATTTTTTACAATAATAGCAATAAAATTATAAATGTGCAAAATGTAACAATAACTCAAACCTTACGACCGAACAACTGTGTCGTCGTCCATGTATGGAAAGTAGTTTAATGTTTTGTGTCCGTCGATAGATGATCCTAAAATTTGGAAGTATGTTTTTCAGTTTAAAAAAGTTAAATTATAGCTTCTACTGCTTGTGTAATAAATTTATCTCAAAATGGTAGAAAACCTCAATAAAAAACAAATAGAATTTTTTAAAAATGTTTTCAAAACAGTTGATAAAGTAAATAACTTGATCCGTTCGATTGGAGACAATACAACTGAAGCAGATTTTCATGACATGTTAAATAAAGTGAATAACGATGACGGTAATAATATTGATTTCTCACAAGATGAATATCGTAATGTATTTAAAGTTTTCGATAAGGATGGTGATGGATTTTTAACAATTGACGAACTAAAAACTGTTTTAAGCTACACAGGCGATGGCTTCACAGAAGAACAGATTGATTTTTTAGTGGAAGGGATAGCTACTAGTAGTGATGGTAAAATAAATTACGAAACCTTTGTTGTTGTGATGTCAACTGATATAAATGAATGTGACAAAGATAATTCTACAACATCGAGTGAAGACCAGTAATGTGAGTTACTCATAACTCACGAATATTAGATGTACTAAGGCGAAATGTAAAATTTTTTGTAGTATTGAGTAAAATAGGGGATTGTGACACCCACTAAGATTCTAAATGCACTCCAATAATATCTTTTTTTCTGCTAACTGTTTTTTGTTTGTGATTAAATGTTCAAAAAAAATGTGAAAATAGGCTAAATTAATATTGAAGAATTTTTGTTTGAAGATCAAATTCTTTTATCAATCCTTTAATTTAAAACAATGTACAGTATAACTGCCGGCATATATTAATTGTGTTTTATAATTTTGAAATAAATGGCAAAGTCATTAAAAAAATATAAATCAAAATACATCTCCAATAAAAATAATTTTATTTACAACTAAAATTTTATTTAAAATTTCAAATTTTTAAGCACAATTTTATTAGAACCACATTCCCAGTTATGAATTTTGATTTATTTTTGGGTAATCACTTCCATTCATCTTAACTAAATCTGGAAACCATAGAATAACAGTAAGTAGTTTTCTTTAAAATATGTTTATAAATAATCTGTATTAGCGATATGATTAACTCTTAGTATCAACTGTATACATTTATAATGATATCTTTAGCTTATCTTAGTTTTATTTTTTGACTCAAGTCTTGACTTCAACACTGCTTGTAGAGGTACCGGTTTATGTTGCCCTGAAAGTAATTAAGGGAAAAGTTTATCTCGAGTTTTTTCAGGTTGCCAATATTAAATAGATGACAAAATCAATACCAGATTTTGGACATTTCCGCGTGAATACCGAAAAGTTTACTGTAGTTCTTTCTAGTCACTGGTGTATACTCGTATGAACCCGCACAGACAAACTACGCATTCCTTTTAATAGAAGTTGTGAAAAATGAACAATTAAGCATTTTCTCTATGAAATTCCAGATTGGATTTCCCATCAAAGGATGAGTGGAGTGTCAATCCAACATGGTTACATGGCGACTCGCAAAAATGGTATAAAGTTGGACCCAAAACGCTTCAACGTGTAGAAGCAGGAATAGTGGGACCCAGAGCACACAAATCAATCACAATATGCACAGACTCCATAATTTTCCATGCAGAGTTCTATGCTATAATACAACCATGAAGATCTTATCCAAGAGGACATAAGACCGTTAAAATCTATATACTCTCAGACAGTCAGTCAGTACCCAAAACTCTAAACAGCCACACATTCATATCAAACATCCTTATACAGTGTAATAAAGTATTCTTTCAAAAACTCACTCCGAAGAAGCTACTTCATTTCCTCGAGATGCTAAATGTATAAATAGAAAGGGGTGCACAACAGATCAGATGGTGTCAAGTTTTCGCGGGTATGGCAGGATATCCCATTCACAAGTGACTTTGCGATTTTCCATTTGAAGTTCCTTCAGAGGGTATGAAAGTCTCTTCTCTATTATTCGTTGCTCATAAGCATCTATTAATAGCTTTTTGAGACACATTTAATGTTTTTGTCAATTGCTGTTGAGTTTAAGTTGGGTCATCAGTCAATAGCTGCTGCAATTACTCGTCTTCTCACTTTTGTGGTCTACCAATTGCTCTTTTTTGGGTACAAAATTCGACATGATAAAACCGGAAAAAACTTATGCATACACCTGTAACTTCGTCCTCTGTCGAAATCAAAATGTATGCCATGAAATGAAAAATCGCTTAAATCACTTTAAACCTCTTCTCGCCTCGTAAAAGTAAATGCACATATATTTGTATACTACATGTGAAATAATACAAATTGATTTAGCTGTTGTGAAATTTTTACAGAGTAAACTCTTATATTATTAAAAATAATGGAAATTCTTAAAGGGAATCATCATAATACCTCCTAAAACAGAATGATGTTTTTAGGCGTTATAGCAACATGATGGTCTCTACTCGCATTGGCAGCTAAGATAGCCCTCGTCACTGCCTTAAATTTCTATATAAATATTATATTAATAATGTTAAAAAAAAATTAACGCACAATTTTTTAACAGAGATACTTTATTTCAGATATTAGTCTTGTTTAGTATAGACAATAGAACCGCAAAGAGCTGCACAACTTAGTTTTTAATTTATTCCTTGTAAAAGAAATATGAATAAGTCTCCATTAAAAGTTAACTGGATAAACTTCAATCCATAAATAAAACTGCGTATAATCAAACAAACACTTCAATACAGCAGTTTCCATTTCAATCTTGGATTGATCATTAACGATATAAAAGTGCAAATTCCCTCAACGCATCAGAAATTGCTTTAGCTGAATTTCCAGTTAATACTGTGTTGACGAAATCATCCAACTGTTCTTGTCTGGCGGTTATTAAGCCATAGCAACTTACTTTTGGCAACATATTAAGTGCTTTAATAAGAAATTCTTTCAATACCTTTTCGGTTAATACAATTTTTAATTCGTAAAACACTTCAGCGACATCTGGTAGCATGTACTTATCAAGATGAAATACGGAAGCATTTAGTAGATTTACAACTAAAGATTCACCATTTTGTTCTGCAATATCTTTAACTATTGGTCGGCACTCAGTTAATTCGAATTTCGTAGTGCGACCATATTTTAGCAGATTACCAAGAAAATTCATAACTGAAAAATTCGCTTCTCGGTGATCAATAATACAGGAATGTATTGCACATTGAAAAACGTACGTTACAAATTTGCTTTGAAGGAATGATACTGGACTGCTGTCTATAAAACGGGAGCATAGGCGGAAAAAGTCATCGACTATATCCGAATTGTTCTCTAAACCATTTTCTTCTCGAAGCATGAAGACTGTAGGATCAATAAACGCTTGCACCATTTCCAATAATCCCGAAGTGTATTCCTTGATATTTGCAAATTCACTAACAAGAACTGAAGCTAGATATAGAAAACAACTATGATGTTGGATGCTATACAAGTTGACCATATGCTTCACCAATGGTTCAACTAATGGAGCTACTTGCTTGTGCAATATGCGTATACTGTACTTCAATAGACGACACGTACGTTCCATTATGCGCACATTTGATTGATACTTGTTTAATATACTTGATAACAGTGGCCATAATTCTATTAAGAGTTGTTTACTAGGATGTACTTCAATAGGGAATATATTTGATACGGTATACTGTATGATAACACAAACACAATCAATCCAATAAATGGGATCGCTACGCTTATTTTGTGGTATGCTCTCTGGTGTTGCGTTAGGATCCTCTACTAATAGCGCAAGGGGTTGTAGCTGAAATGATACTATTTCTCGTAAAGCAATTTCTAGATGCTGCCGTGGTAGGCATGAAACAACAAGTGCGAAACTTTTTAATAAATCAATTGCTAATTCTGTGCTCACATTTAATATATCCAAATATTTAGCTATGACCATTAGTTCATTCAAGTATTTGATCATTTTTTGTTTGGAGGTTGCACAAATCAATGTTAATGCCGTTATCGCTGCAGGAACCAAATCTGTATTTTGTTGTATGAAGTAATTGAGAAAGTTTAATATTGTTTCCAATATATCGGAATGATTGTCTATCCAGGAGGATAATTCTCCCAATAGCGTAATTGAGGTGTGGCGTAATGCAATATGACAGTGCTCTGGCATATTCAAAATAGCTTCAATCACTTTTTGCACTGTGTCGTTTTCATCATATACAAGATTCTTTGCTGCAATTTGCATAACAAATAAAGCGGATTCTGTTTCAATCCAAATAGAATCTGTATCGGTTAGAATTTCATACATTTTATTAAAACACCTATTTGATCCAACAATAAACATCATATCTCTTATTAGATCAGCAACTTTACTGCGAAAATATCCAAAATCGTCATTTCTATTAATCAAACCATCAGTGCAATAATCTATTTGCGCGTGCTTGTACAAGACTACCATTAGGCGGTCAACGTATGGTTTAAATTGCATGGTGAGTTTATTGTTGTTTTGGCGCAATAATTCTTCACCTAAACTATACCAAAAATTTAAAGTTATCTCGCAGACTTCATAATCAGAGTAGTCATCGCACATCAATAGTAAGTCCAGTGCCCCAATTGTATAATGAGGAATTTCAGCACATGATACCATTCGACTTAGGTATGCTTCAGCCATTACCGTAAATATACGACAATAGTTCATCATTTTGTAACGTTGGTTTTTAGTAATAGTTGTACGGTAAGATGTTTTCAATGAATAAATTTTATTGTATATTTTTGCAGATAACGTAGAATCAAGTTTATTGGCTATAGACGCTGCTTCTAAGCAACTTAGGAAACTGCATAAACAATCTGTTGATGTGTCGTGATGAAATAGTTTTGAGTCTGGCTCTAACAAAATATGGAAAATATGTTCTGTTATTGGATTTTCAATAAAGATATGTGGTGGTATAACATCTATGTCAAGCCATGAGTTATAGCAGGCCATAACACCGTTGTAAAGCTTCTCGTTTGATTCGTCTACCGTTGAAAAACAACCAAATAAGAATTCTAGTAGTTTTGGAGTGCTTGCCATAAACTGTTTGTGTACCTCTTGCTTCCTATTCTTACCTAATCGTAGATTTTTCGACTGGATTTCTTCCGGTATGCGCGCAAGTATTCCCAACAACGACAATGTAGAACGTTCTGCCAGCATTTGTAATAAATCGGTTACAGGATTTTCCCACTCATTCATCACTAATACTAAATCTGCAACTGCTACAGTAAGTTGTGTCAGTACCAGTTGATTCTCTTCACGTGTTATATGCATTATTAACGAATCTCTCAAGGTTTTATGCGAGTTTGATGGTAGTTGCATAAGGGAACTTTGAACCTTATTTCGAATTGTTTGCGCTGCAAAGAAGCATGAATTTTCGTCACGTTTCTGTTGCAATAGCTCTTCCGAAATACTCCAAGAATATATGGAATTTTTATATTTAATAAGCCATTTGTCGGCTTTTTCTCTTTCTGCAGAATCCGAGTAATAATACAACATACAAATTTGTTTAAAAACTTCGTCCACTGTAGGCGGTGAATCCATTTTATATAAGAATATTTGATCTTATTTAATATTTTACGACTTCGCTTTCACTTATGGGATATAATTAGTTATTGTTAAACACGCACTAACAAAATACTTTATGTATCTTACGCCGTTTGTGACAGCTAAAAATAGTGACGTTGCCAGATTGATTATTTTAACCTTAAAAGCAAATGAAGTATACGCTTGCTTTTATAAAAGTTACACTATGTTTACACTTCATTTTAGTGATGTTAAGTGTTCGAATATCGAATTGCTGAAGTAGTTGGAATATACTCATATCGGATCATCTAGATCGAACACTTCAAATACCAGAAAATACCAGAACTACTTGTAGAACAAATCTAGTTTGTATTTTATTACATTTTCATTATGATTTATGGAAATATTTACAAGAAAGAGTAAATACTCTCAAACATAGTGATATAGAGTTCTGTTTTACATACCACTTCATATTAGATTTTTTGTTATGCAAATACTTGAGTACCGTGTGTTGTTTGTATATATTCGAATGGTTCGCTTTGCCCAAGTTGAATGCTCTCCTTGCATATTTAAATATTAAGTGAAGCCATATCTCATATCTATCGCAATTTGTTTTTGTTTGAATCTTGAGATCTTTATTGATAACTAGTCATACTAAAAAGCATCATTGCGGTGGCGGTTTTTTGATGTAAAAGAAAGTGTGGGGAATCAATACAATTGTGTGGTGCAATCAGTATAATTGTGTGGTGGAATCAATATAATTGTGGGGTGGAATCATATAATTTTGTAGGGAAATCTTTATCACTGCCACAAAGCATTCAAAAGTATCAACAGAAAATCAAAAAAATCAAAAAAATCAAATAAAAATCATTTGTATTTGTATATGTATATATATATATATCTATATTATTTCTGTATTTACGTTAAAATGATAAACTAATATTAACACACAAAATTTTTACAAAATATTGAGGTGAAATAAAGCATAAAGCGTTACAACGAGGTTTAAATGAGTTCCAAACATTGAACACACTCTAAATAAAAGCTTTTAATGGCATTTTGACAGTTTGAGAAAGCTGTTTTTGACATATTTACCAAAAAAGGTAAACAAGTGTTTGGTGGTTGCATTTCAAACAGCTGATTAAAACGAATGTAAACACTTTCAAACGACCAGTGTAAATGCCATATAAAGCATCAATAAAACATCGATGCCATTGTGATTCTTTTGGCATCGATGCCACTATAAACTGCTTAGTTATTAAATAAAATTGATTTATAATGAGGAATTATAATTTACAATCGTTGTTCACAATTAGGTACTGTTTTGATTTCTGGCTTTATAATCTCTTTGGTTTAATAAAAATTCACATCCATGACTGGTACACAACAGGTACACAACAGTTTTGAGCCATATAAAAAAAACCAATACTTTGTTGTCTCGCATATTTCTGAAGGATTTAGTATGAAATTCAGATTACAAATGTCACTAAATACGAAAGTAAAAACTTGAGATCATTCCATTAACTGTGTCACTCACCACTGGCTTGGTGCCAGCATATACTGTAAATTTCAATTTTTTTTGGCGGTGTAGAACCATAAGTAATATTTTGATTTTATTATATTTTTATTGAATGTTTAATAATGAATCTATAACTTTTATATTTATAATTTATAAAATAAATATAATTTTATAAAATATAAAATTTTTATATATTTATAAAACAATTTTACAACATACTATACAATATATTGTCAGAGCTGAAATTTTTAACTAATTCCGCATTTATTTCTATAACATATTTACAAAGGTTTGTAAATGTATCGTGTCAAGTTTTCACATATTTTTTTTCATGATAGATCAGAGGTTAACTAAATTTTATTTTTCATTATTTAAAAACGAATTAGTTGTGCCGTAAGCAATCAGCTGGTGCATTCTACTTTATACCATTTTGATTGTCAAATTTTAGGTGACTTTTTAAATCAAGATTTACTTTTCTTTGATACAAATTTTACCTGAAATAATGTACGAGTAAATTCTGTGTAGCATTTTCAAATTTTAACAGGGATGTTACACTCTCTCAGATGCTCGCATTTACTCGAAAATTTTGCTGGTGGAACTCACTTGTGTATAAACAGTATTATTCAGAGTTACAATAAGTAGCTCATGGAACAGACCTATTATGTGCATATACTGGTTTTATCACCTTTTTAACAATAACAAAGAAGCATTAGAAAAATTTCGATTTACTAAATGCAGTAAACTTTGCGAAAAGTGTTATAAAAATTAATTTTAATTTTTAATTTTACCTAAACGTGGCTTGAGTAATAAGAAACAATTCAATCGATTATTAGAACCCACACTTAAGAAACGTAAGTTTTGGTTTTTGACGAAAGCGTGGGAAAACCTAATATCAGCTGATAGAAACATTGAGCATTTCTCCATGTTCGAGATAATTGATGGGCGGATTAAACTTAAGTTGTTTGTGTTTTTATATTATATAAAATACATAATATTTTATATTATATTATAATTATAATTCAAAATATATTCATCTGGTATCTCAGAAGTTTATCACGTTAAATAAGCTGATGTCAAAAACTTTTGTGCAGTTATTACGGGTTCTTATTAAATTATAAAAGTTAATGAAACTTAAAATGCAACACTGTATTTTACTTAAAACTTATATTAGAAAAGATATTTAAGAAACTACAATTAAGTATGCCTTGTTTTTTTAAAAACCTATTTAATTTATAAAAAAATGATAGAAATTCAATTTGTGTTTAAAATTTATTTTATAAAGTCAATTACAAAAATACGTTTGGAAAAACTTCAATTTTAAAAGTCGATTTTGCAAATTTTAATTTGCAAATAAAAAAAATTTAAATTTCTATCACGCAGTCTAAGAAATTTGTCAAAATTGAGCCCCAAACGATTGGAGTGTTAAAGTTCGCATCATTCGGTATGAAAATACTGCATGATAAGCGAAGTGGATTTTTCGGAGCTGTTATGATTATGTTAGTTGGGCTTATTTTACATTTATCTGGAGTGGGACTCAATTCAGAAGAAGCAAAGGATTTACCGAGTTTTTCGTCATCAGTTTTTCTACTTTGCATTTTGTGCTTGCTGGTTAGATTCCGCATGACTTGGTGGAATGGTTTCTCAAATGCGATGAAAGTATTTATTTTTTTAGTGGAACTTGTAGTTTGCATTTTCATTGCATGCTTTCTTACCACATTACTTTGGTGGTATTATTGCAAGGTCATTTTATTTATATGCACTTATGTTGGAAATGTACTACAGAAACGGTCTGCACTTGATAATTATGCACCAACAATAGCGCGTCTGTTGACGAATTACGTAGCGCCGCTTGCTCAATTATTTACTATAATGAAATTCCTTGGGTTCACTTTGAGATATTCAGGAACTATTGCATATATACGTGAAGAAGTTACAGCACCCACTCTGCCGGATGACAGTGACGATGTAAATGCAATTTATTGACAAGCAAAAAACACCACACTAACATCACAGGAGCACGTAAAAATTCTCAATAATGTGTTAGCTGGAAGGAAGTGTGCTTGCAAATATCACAACTTAGCACGAAGCCGTAATAAGTAAGTTTAAATTTATTGGAATAATGTAATAAATACTAGTGATTATTTTTTAACTTTACTTTCATTTAGTGAAGTATTGGAATCATGACCAAAACAGTAACACACTTAAATCAGTTCTTTTTTTATTTAAGTAACAGTAACATCGACTACTATTACTAAGTAAATGTCTGGAGATTCCAGCACATATCGTACCAAACCGTATGTCATGGTTCAGAGTAGCGCTCATTGAATTTTCAAGCAAACTTACTACAGGTTTCAAAAGTAACGGCAGAAGGAAGCTGTTAAATCCTTTCGAGAGAAACGTGTCTATCACATAAGAAGCGGAATTAAATCAACGATAACATATTTTGGTCCATTAAGAAACTCAAATTTAAATGAATAGATAGACTCTCGTAAGTACTTTAGTTATTATTTTATATATTTTGCTAGTAGTATTTTGAAGTTCGTACTAATGAAACTTTCACTTTCAAATTAGCCAGTTATAAAATTAGCTAGATAAACGAGTAGTTGGTACTGCTAAAGAAAAATACACAATAAACAATGAACTTGCTTGATGTTATATCACTTATCTTAAGCATTTACTAATAGATGAATAATTCTTCGAAATTCTTTATTTAAAATATTTTAAATTTAATAGACTATTAATTTTTTCCCTTAGAGAAGACAACAATTTAAGTTTTGGCAACTAATTTTTGCTCAACCGGTAATAGAATAAAAAAAAAAATAAAAGTTTTTCTTAGACGAATTTTAGTACGTACTCTAGTTTTTGTTGTTGTGACTCGCTGAAATATGTTTTTAAAATCCCTTTGGGAGATGGTGAGAAGCGCTTTATCGTGGTTGACAAGATTCCAGACGTTCTTGGAACCTTGTATGACAAATCAAAGAATTCATAACAATTTGTACCAGTACTACTAATTTTATTAATTTCATTAAAGTTAGCTGTAACAATCATATATAAGAATTTTACGATTATGGAAAAATATGAAGAGAAAGAAAAAATCTTCTTCAATCAGATAAAAGAGCCGTTATAATTTCACATTCTTCGAAAATTTGGTTCTACCCTTTAACACCACTAGGCGTTTCAAAATCAGTTGAACACATGAATGAAAACATTTAACCAATTCTAATGTTGAATATATCGTTAAGTGAATGAAAGAATAGGGCACTCATAAGCTTATGCCTGCACCTGTAAAAGCTTCGATAGTGACATAACAGATATTTTGGTGTCCCCTTCACGACCCTCAGTATTTATGTAGCATGATTTTCGATAGGGCAGGCTTAGCTCAGATCTATATCGTCTTATAGTCCAGTTTTTGGTAAGATCCGATGTTATGTTGAATACTTTTACCGTTTTTTGCGGATTAAGTTAAATATTTTAGATTTGTGGCTGTATTTTATAATTATAGTTCATAAGCTATTCATCTGCGATCTTTTTCGACTCCGACTAATTAAAAGACCTTCATATATTAAATATATACCGGTTATGAAAAAGTAATAAATAAAGTACTTAACATGATCTTTTATTGACTTTAAATTTTGTCTAAATATATGGTAAATATATGAGTTTATTCAACATCGTGTCCATATTAGTAAGCGACCAATTAGTAAGTTTTCAAATATAAAAGTCAAAGCCTTTTCTGCATTAAGTTTTTTTTTAGAACACAGATTTATTAACTTATGCTCACTGAGAATATCTGGGAATTCATGTGTGAAAGGAGTTTGAAGTTTGGAGTATTTAATATTTTTATCTCATTTATGGTTTGTTCAAAAATTCATTGAAAAGTTATTGTTATAAAATAATAGCAATAAATATTTGTATTAATAACATTATATAATTATATAATATTCATTAATTTTACTTTTAATTTCTTTATAGACCTAATATATTCAAAACAACTAATAGGCGAAGATATCTGAAAGATATTCTGCGGCAACAGTTAAGAGTAACTGGCACGTAGTCCGATGTAAAATAAGAACTTAACATAGGGATACTAAAGTCATAATGGAAGATCTCCAATCGGTTGGGTATTACACATTATGAAATTTTTTCTTTTTCTTCTAAATTTTTTATGTTCATTAACAAAATTTTTAATGTAAAAGGAATGTAAAATACAGATATTTATATTTATAGATTTTTGAAAGATAAATTAATACAAGCAAAGGTTACAATATTAGATCAATATAAAGTATATTATACATATATATATCTACCATATATATTATGATATCTCACATAGCTTAATAGTAAAAGACTTTCTTGAAAGTTTTATTAGATGGTGTGAACGATTTTTGCCTATATTACATTTACGTTGTTCTATTAAGAGAACCATTTTTATCTAACGAATTTTGATAGATTCAACCAGACTATTCTTTAGGATAAATTATTGATTGTTTAATTTGCTTGAAATTGGAGTTTAACATACTTTATGTATTTATTTAAGTATTACTTATATTAATATAAGAAATTATATTAGTTTAGTTAGAACTTATTAATATTATATATTAGTTACTTTTCCAAAAAAAAAAGAAAAATAAAAATCGTGATTACCAAAAAACGTGACGCAAGGAAGATAACTTTGAGTGTATGTGTTGCTTGTGTTGTATACCTATATATTTCAATATATAATAATGCAACTTAATAAAATATGTTAAGAAACAATAAATTCCCTCATCGAGTGATGGTGGTGTAAAGCTAGTGGTAACAATAGTGTTCCCAATGTGCTCACAACTATATTAAAGAGCACTATTTCTATTAAGATTGAAAGTGAGGACGTACATGCTATTGTGCTATGTCATAGATCGTTCTATTTGTACAGTATAGGCTAAATTTTCAACAAATGTACTATTTTCAATAAGATATTTACAAGTATCTATAGATTAATTTATCCATGAAGGATATACAACGCTCTTCCTGCAATTTTATTCAGCAACTAGAGCTGGCGATGTCTTCGGAGCATTGTACCCTAACAATATGCATTGAGAATATTCAAATTATTGAGACTTAAGTCAATAAAGAAAGTATTGCTTTGTTGTCAGAATAGAGGTGTCGCTGGTATACATAAAATGTGTATTTACTTCCTAGAAATATTAAACCTTTTTCGCAAGGATTTTTTGGAAATGTGGTTGTTAATCTAAGAAATATTATACCTTGACTGCAAATTCTTTTTATTTTTATTTCTTCTGAGTTTATAAAAAAAAATCGACTTTATTATTGCATCGTTTCTTTATAACTAAAGACATAGTTTTAAATTTTCTTATCGTAAGCCAATTGTATATGGTATACTAATTTGAAATGTTTAGCTACAATATGGTTTGTAGCTTACCAAATCTACATGTTATTGTTTATAATATAATATATAATTTATGGAGCTAAGCAATTTATATATGAACTTATCTTGAGCCGTGAACTCCGGGTGCAGGTGTGTAAACAAAGAATATGCTGTGTCAGCTATCTATCAATTGTAACGGGATTTTTAGATAAATGTATATAATGTACTGTATATTTAAGGTACTTAACTTGCAAGGATTCTCTGGCGATCTGTGAAACATTAAATAAACAATTATTACATTTCTAAATTTTAATAAAATTTTTTTTATTTTTTTTTAATTTAATATAAAAAATTATAATTTTTTTAATTTTAATTTTTATAAAAAATATTTATGTCATATTTAAATTATATTTAGTTATTTTTATAAAAATTATAATATAATTAAAATATTTAACACAAATCAATAAGTGTATTTTTTTTATAATTTTATGTGTTAAAGAAGGGACCTAAACGTCAAAAATTAAAAAAAAAATTATTGTTGATTAGTCGTAATAACAATTAATTACTATAATTTATTTTATAAATAAATTTTTTTTAAACTGATTAATTAATCAATATTTAAATAATATACTTTTTTTTTTTAATTTAGTTTTTAAAACATTACCTATTTGCATCAAGATTTCGACTCTATATTTCGTCTATAGTCATCTTCAGGGTACAGCACCACTTTTTAAATAGTTTATTTAACAATTGATTAATTAGCCCATTTCAAAAACTAAATTATTAATAAAAATTGTGGTCGATAAAACAAAAAAATTAATGTACAGTAGTCAGTGTATACCGTATACGTGCGAAGGTATGCGAAGCTAATTATGAACTGTACAAATCCCAGAGTTATATGGGGGAATGCTCGTATTATACGAGGGATTGAAATAAGGGTATTGCGTTATAGGGGGGATTACTGTATAATTTAATAAATTTCTTTAAAAAAATATTTTTTATTACTTTACATTGTTGCAGTTAAAATGAATTTTCAAAATATGTTAAACACGGAATCAACATAATAGGTTTTTCAACACCTTTTTAATGCTGATGAGCTGAATTTAATTACAGCTCATTATGGTTAACACACATTTCCCCGCAGTTTGCAGACTCCAAAATCTACGCAACTATAAAAGTAAACACGAAAAACGCTTATTTGCTTGTGCTTGTGCATAAATCAGCGTCGTTCTCGTGCAACTGTTGATGAGAAATCTCATTAAATTCACGCACCTTGCACGGCCATCGATTAAGGATACAACTAAGCTGCTGCATATCAATACGAATGTGTGCACATATGCGTGGATAAATTCAACATAACTAACAGCAACTCTTATCTCTACCCCACACCAACACCAACAACAACATCAACATACAAATACAACTACAATAAAAGCAATACAATTAAATTTATTCAAATCACATGCTCTCATTTAAAACATTGAGCAACGCTTAACGTTTCTGACAGAAGATCATTTGCGTAAGTGTGTGTGCGTACGTTTTGTGTCTGTTTCCATATCTGGCAACATATGGAACAGCAATTTAAAACGAGCGGACATGTGAACTTTGTTGTTGCTTCTCTTGCTGTTAGCGTATTGTTGATGTTGTTCTTATTGTTGTAATTGTGCGCTTTTATTGTGTTGCTTTTATTTAATTAATATAAGTAGAAAAAAACAAGTTTTTTCCATTGCCCTGGGACTGCATACATGTATATTTTTATTTACGTTGCTGCATGTGTACGTTTGTCTGTGTTAATGTTTGCATTTCAATAAGCAAAGCAGACGTGAGAAATTGAAAACAAACGCTTTCAACACGTCGTATGAGTGATTTTAATGAATTTGATTCTAATTAAAAGTCATTAAAAGAGATTTGTTTATTATTTGCATAATTCAGAACATGCAAAAGTCGTTAGCATTTAAAATAATTAATATTTTCAACACAACAAATAATTTACATATTAGATTCTAAAAATAAAATTCACAACTTTTAATAACCTAAACGTAAAGAAGGTGTAAAGAGATTGTGACGTAATATTTATACATCATTATAGTAAGAAGCATGGAACTCACGCTGGCCCCGTTGTCGGAATAAAAGTCTTGTAAAGATTGTAACGCTCGATTTAATATAAATGGTCACAATGGATGGTGGAGCTTTAATTGAGGTTTCTACACGGATTCGTAAAGCAAACCCCCCTTCGCCAATCTTAAAAATCTTTGGAAATCATCTAGTGTTCATCTTAAAACGAAAATCAAAACCTGCGTCAAATATGTTTTACTGTATGGATCTGAGACTTGGTATGTGACTACAACTATCGCTAATAAGTTGCAAACGTTTGTAAATAAATGTCTGTTTCAGATTTTAAGAATATGGTGACCACGAACTATTACAATTGAACGTCTCATGACACGAAATAACCAACAGCCAATTTATAAAGAAAAAATTCAGAGGAAATACGGATGGTTTGGGGTATACCCTTCGCCAGCCAAACACAGAAATTGTTCACGCTGCATTCGAATGAAATCCGCAGGGAAGAAGAAATTGCGGTCGATCGAGAACAACAAGGACAAGAACCATCAGTAAAGAAATGAGCAAATCATTTAGTGAGCTAAGAGCAACAGCGCGCGATCATATTAATTGGAAATCTCTTGTGATTAGTCTAAGTTCATAAATTTTGTTTCTGAACATGTCAATAATAATAACAATATAAAGATTAGTAGGTTGTTTTTCTAGACCGACTCTTTGTAACAAAGGGTGACCTTCTGATGTACTAGCTTAGATTTCACTATGGAAAATGATGCAATTTTAGGGCATTTTATGAGTAAAGAGGGGTAATATAATTTAAATCAAAACATATGTGTGTAATAGTAATGATTTTGAGAAGTAAAGATAATAAGCGCTTTCTTCTTCTTGAAAAATGGTTTTAGGAACTCTTGATATTATTATTCCATTGATATAATTATTGAAACAGTTATATTATCTTAGCATTTTTTTCTTACAAGTCGATTATATCACGTGTTATTCCTGAATATAAAAAGGAATATGTATCGTAAGAAAATATTCACCGTTTTTGAGCTTATGTGACCTACTTTTTAGATCTAAATTTGATTTTTAACAGAAATAAGAACTTTTCAAGATTCGCAAAAAATATTTAGAAAGCATGAAATATAAATGTAATTATATATCTTTACGACTTTGAACATTCGTTTTGCAAATAAGAATCGTAACAACATTTCTTCAACTAATATAGCGCTCAAGTATACTGATTTAATATTATTTTTATAATATAGTAATATAGACCTATTGCAAATAAAAGTATGCATATCTTAAAGAAAATGATTATTTCTTTATTAAATACAAATGATGATTAAAAATTGATCGACGGAAGAGACGCTAAAAATCAGATGGCTAAGTTGTTCGCCTATAAACCACAGAAATTCTACACCGATGGAATTATAAATCTATTCGAATGGCAAATGGCAAATGATCATAAATATTAAGTGTCAATATAAACTTTATTAAAATTAATATTTAATAAAAAACATTTTTGTTCAGAAATGTACCACTAAACGGCGGATACTTTATGTTTCATCATTGCTACAACTTGCCTTAAAAGTGTATTTATACGAAATTGATTGCATTTAGAAATAATACATTCAACACAATTTTCATTGCATATAGGCAGGCGCCTGCAACTAATTCCATCTTCAAAAAAGTAGTTTCTTGTTGAGATTGATGCCAAAATCGTGTCTGAAAACTTTCTCCAGCAAATATTAAAATGAATTAAAATTGTAATTATAAGTA